ACAGTGAAGATCGTGTTTCTAAATCTGATACCAATGATTCTAATAGGTCAGGAGTCAAGAGGGCAAATTCACAATCCCAGGATCCATTGATTTGTCCAGCATGTGAAAACTCTTTCTCTGATCCACGTCTGCTTCCTTGTCTACATTCTGTCTGTTATGTTTGTCTTGACAGCCTTCATGTGAAAAAGAATAAGATCAGGTGTCCAAAATGTAAGAGTAGACACAGCATTCCAAGTAAAGGAAAAGATGGGTTTGTTTCCAACAAGCTTGTCATGAATTTAATATCAGCTCAGAAGGTTGATTTTGATTCTGTTTTTGACTGTGCTGTTTGTATGCTACATGACCAAACTAATGAGGGGTATGGGAAGTGTATAGACTGTGGGGATATTTTGTGCAATGACTGTTTTGCTAAGCACAATTTCTCAAGTCAAACTGCACACCACAGAGTTGTGTCCAAAGATGATTTGAAATTGGTAGGAAAACAACAGTTGATTCCTGTAAAAGGAGTACAATGTGAGCAGCACACAGGTGAAGATCGAAAATTTTTCTGCGAAAATTGTAATGAGCTGGTTTGTCGTGATTGTATTTTATTGGATCATTCCAAGCATCACTGTGTTGTTTTCACGGAAGCTATAGCATCAAGAAAGATAGTGATTCAGTCCCTTCTGGATGACCTTGAGAAAAAGCGTGAACAAATAGATGATGATGATATGGATGGTTTTCTGGTTGACCTGGATAAAGAGGAGAAGAAGCAAATAGAAATTATTGAGAAAGTTGTTGAGCAGTATGTCCAAGTTATGAAGACAAAAAGAGATGATGCAGTAAAACTTTTGAGGAAAATGTTTCGAGCTCAGAGAAAATTGGCTACAGATAGGAAAGCAAATGCTAGAGGAATAGCTTTAAAAATTGAAGATAGATCCAACATTGTTAATTTTTTCCTCGATGAAGGTCTTGATGTGGACATTTTAACTTTGCAATCAGTAATAGAATCCAGTCTGGCTGAGTTAAAGGAGAAAAATGTTTCTCCTGCATCTCCCAGAAACTGTCCTTGTCCATTTGTGATAGTCAATACTGGTAGCATTGATTTTAAAAACTGGTCACCATTCAGCATTTCCAGCCCCAGCAAAAAGAAAGCAGCAAAGAAAGATCAAGGGATAAAAAGCATAGTTGAAAAAACATCTTCCAAGCAGGGTCAGGAGAAGAAAATTTCTAAACCAAAAAAAAAGAAAACTCTTCCTTCAACTATGCTAGATCAATACCAGGACTTTTATTCAGCCTACCCCATGCCGATGTTTATGGAATATTACAGCTCAGACATACCACCAACTTTGGTTCAGTCATTTCCAGGAACATTACAGAAACGAAGTGTTGAGGCATTAGGTGGTGATTATCTACATACAGGCAGACAGCAGTGTTATACAACAGTCCCTTTTCAACAGAAGATTGGAGTTGAAGAAGGACAACAAAACAGTGCGAGTCTCAATAAGCGTCAAGCTCAGCAATATTCAGCTGCTATGTTTAATCAAGCAAGTTTTCACCCTGAACCAAGTTCATCTTATGAGCCCAAAACTCCACAGCCAGAACTAAGTTTAGCTCATGGAACGAAAAAATCAGTTCAAAGATTTGTAGCTCTTCGACTTGTCACATGCCTTAATGTAAAGATGATTTCGGATAACAAGGAACCCATAATTTCTGGTATTGCTTTTATCAATAATGAGACATTCCTCCTAAGTGATAATGGAAACAAGAAAATAAAGATGTTCAGGATAGATGGCACTTTTGTAGATTTTTTTCAGGATCCTGCACCAATGTCATTGACAGGATGGAATGATTGCATAGCTTGGAACAGTGATAATGCCAATGTTTACATCAAGGAACACACTAATCCACAGGTTAAACGACTTCAGTTTCAGGCCAGCATTCCCCATCCGATAGCCTGTTACAAAAATCAATTCATTGTTATAGCCAATGTGAAGAAGAACATGGTTGCAAGATATGATGTGGAAGGACGAAAAGTTTCCGATTTTATTCCAACTACATCTGGTGGACTAAACCTGCAGCATGTCACCAGCATTGCAACCAGCAATAACAACCTAATTGCTTTGGTTGACACACATTTGAAGAGGGTGATAATCACTAATATGGATGGCTTGCATTTAGGTGGGTAATTTTGCTGTATATATGATAGAGTTGTGAATGGCACAGCTATTAAAAGGACTTCATGGATTATGTAAACCAGCTTTCTTTTTAGTTTGATTTTTGCCAGTTTCCCATAAATGTTAGGAGTTAAGGTTATGCTAACCTTGCAGATTTCTGTAAGAGTTTGGACAATGTTTGGGGGACATGTATTATACGAGCAAATTTCCAGCTTTTATTGAGTTGGATTGTTTGATTAATTTTTTCAAAAATGGAAAAATGGTACTAACAGCTCTCTTGCTTGGCACTCAGCATTAGTAGTTTAGTGTTAGATATGATACTTATATCCATTTTTTATGACTTTCACTTGTATATCCATACAGCATGGAGAGCTGAGATTTGCAGATAATTGTGGTAGAACTTTACACTGTTTAAGAGATTTTAGCATTTTTCAATCAGTGTTTATTTCTTTATTTGCATTTTGGGACTTGTGATGATTTATTTTTCATAAACATTTGTTGTATGGTGCCAAAGAAAAGTTTGATGCTTGATGTATACAAAAGCAATAAAGGTTGCATATTGTAGTCATTTATTGGAAAGCATTTACTCATTATGCACAAGTTTTTAATGGAGGGATTTTCATGAAACTTTGCCTAAGTGTTTACCATATCCATATGGTTTGTCCTGTTTACCATAATAAGCCATCTGTCTTGAGATCAATGTCACAGTAATGGAAATATGTCTCTGTGACTTGTATCTTTGCTCAGAGTTTAAGTTTTGAACGATGCAAGATATTTAATGAAACCAAACTTAAAGCTTGAATATTTGTGTCTCAGAAATTAGTTTTTTGTATATTATAACCAGGTTTACATTTAATTTTACATTGATCACGTATCCAGATAACTGATGGTTAGGATCAATGGTAACTGGTAGAAATTTACTAAAATTTTGATAGCTTTTCGTACTAGAGATTCAAAGAAAAATTTATGAAGTTGGTGAGGGATGTTGTATAAATATAAATCACAAGAACTTCAGGCATGGTATTTCAGTACACAACATTTAATGGTCCAGCTGATCTTTATTCATATCATCATTTCATGTATTAATAAGCATACTGTGAAAAATATGGAAAAAATTGAACAGAAGTTACTGATGTCTAACCTTGGCTTGATTTTATTTTTATTATTATTATTATTATTATTATTATTATTATTTTTATTATTATTATTATTATTATTATTATTATTATTATTATTATTATTATTATTATTATTATTATTATTATTATTATTATTAAATCTCATGTAAATGTCAGTTACTACAAGGACTGAGAATTGCACATCTTATCATAATATAATGTAAATTTTTTTCCGAGCTCTTTTGGCTTGCACAATTTTTTAACTTTTGCTCACTATATTTTTGAGTACATCATGTTTTTCATACATTGTGCAGTTGGAAAACAGAAATTATTTAAAATCTCTATTAATAGTTTCAAAATTTTAATTTTTTACAAGTGAAATTCATAATAGGGGGTGGCAGTTCCAGTTTTGACATACTAACCTTGAAAAAATAATTTTGACGAAAATGATTTTAAAATCAAAAATTTTTTCTTTCTATGTTATGTCAGAATTTGGCTACTTCAGTAAAATTCACTTGCCCAATTGATTTTTAGTTGTCTGGGCTAGTTTTGCTCAGACATACAATTTTTGGAAATATGTTCATAATTTGATCTCTTATCTGGTTTGTTAACTGTGTCAAGATGGCATTTAATTACACAAGTCGAAGAATTTTGTTGGTAAAAAAACAGAAGCATAGGCAGAACATAACTTGCTGGTTTGATTACAGCTCAGTGATCACACCCTGCATAGTGATGATTGCCTAAATGTGATATCATGATACTGTACATACTTTTCATTAAATTTGTATATTTTGAAAAAAAATAATGTCTAAAATATGAATTTGATTTAGAAACATTAGTTTATGATTTTTATATTGTTTGTACAGGAGAGTACTGTCCCCCTGGGGCTTCTGACTGGTTACCTGGTGATGTGTGTGTTGATCCAAAGAACAGCATCTTTGTCACTGACACACTGCAGAATAAGATCCTGATGTGCAACCAGCGAGGTGAACATATTCAAGAGTGGACAACTCTTCTAGAACACATCAGTTGCATTGCCTGCAATAACAAAGGGAATTTGCTTGTTAGTGGGAAAGGGAGACTCAATTTGTACCAGTATTCTTTCCAATGATCCTACTGCCTGGATGCTTTACATTCCAGCAGAATAGAATTAGTTTAACATTCTTTATGTCTTAAAGTACTTAGAATTATTGATTTTAAGCTCACTGTTCTGATATACTTTTTTCTTAAGCTATGATAGTTTAAAGCCTGTTCAAATGCTGGTGCTTTTACTTCTTTTCTGTCACAATTATTATCCCATGATATGTATTATAGTGGAGTAAAATTATCTTTTTTTTCCATTTGTCTGTAAACATTTTCATTTCTGGAGTATAACGCTCTAATTGTTTAGGATTTTACAGGCAACATGTGAAGTAAATTACATGGAAGTGCCATTTCATTCTTAGAATTTTCTGCTTTAAGTAATTTATGATGTTTATGTGGTAATTGAATAGAAATTTATAGGTCAATATGCTTTAAATAAATTTAGAGTGCCTTGTTTTAGGAAGAATTTGAGTAAAAGTATGCTGAAAGTTACCTTGTATCTTTTATCTTGTAAGACTACATGTTCACATTTCTTTTCAAGTGTTTTTCATCTTAATGATTTGGCAATGTTTAGCTCAGCTTCATAGAGGCAAGTTGTTGTATTTCACTCTATATTGGCATCTTCCTTGACACAGGTAAAGTAGACCACTGCGGTGGCCTAGTGGTTAGAGCATCCTCCATGGATGTGGAAGGTCGTGGGTTCCAACCCCGGCTAAGTCATACCAAAGACATTTAAAAAATGGTACTAACAGCTGCCTTGCTTGGTGCTCAGCATTAAGAGGTTAGTGTTAGGACTGGTTGGCCTGGTGTCAGGATAATGTGACTGGGTTGGACATCATGCATCATGTCTGCAGCATTAAGCCTCAGTGCTGGACATCACTATAAACTGTCACAGTGCAGACATCATAGCAATATGGCTGAAAATGTTTTAAAGTTACATTGAAAATTTTAATCACGCACACACACAGATAAAGCATAATGTACATGCACATTGAATGTCAACTATTCTTTCTGTCTTGGTCCAAGACAACAGTTTGGAGTCAATATCATAGATGGTAGAGAGCTAACTTGTATATACATGAACCTTAGTTATACATTTTTTTTAAGTGATTGCATGGGTTTTTAGTTTTAATTTTTTATTTCTCTAGCTCATTTCATCACAGAATCATGAAACTATATGATAAATCACATTCATGGCACAAAGGAAGATCATTGTGGCATGCATTTCACATTTTACTTGCTTGGGTTAAGGTTTTGCATTTAGCTCATAACCAGATGGGTTTTTGTGCCTTCATGCCTAGATTCATGACACTTGGTGAGGGGATGAATCTTGATGAGTAATAAACCTGTCTCATAAAAGTAGATCACTGTAAATTAAATATTTCATGCTTCACTAAAATTGGTAAAATTAAATGTCTTTAATTTCTAAGTTTTGTTCATGTTAGAATCATCATACTAGTTGATTGTGTTAGAACATGAACCACACCCCTTCTACAAAATGTGGAATACATAATTTCATTGGAATGGTATCTTTGACAACCAGGTACATAATGGTTTACACAGTTAGCAATTTTGTAGTAAACTATACCATATTCATGTGTAAACATTGCATCAGGACTGCAAATAGGTGAAAGAGGCTATTGTTACCGTGGTGCAAGTATACCAAATTAAATCTTGTGAAACAGAAATGATAGTAATAATAATAATAATAACAACATTACCAACTTTGTAACTAGTGTTTTATCTCTTTTCTTCTTGACATTTGACTTACCAGAGCTGACACTTCTCATTGGCATGCATAAAATCAAAGTATTATATTTTGACATAGACCAGTGTGAATTAGTGTTAACTTTTTAGTTGCTCTGTCTATATTAATGTTATCATCCACTTATTCCCCAACGAGTAATAAATAGGAGGACGTCATGTATATATTGATCATATGGACATCAAGTCTAAATTTATGAACTTATTTATATTTTCCAAGACAGTGGATAACATCAGATTTGCTGCTTGAAAACAAACTGGCCCAAGTAAATGTGGCAACAGTTACTAATAAAACACCAACAAGTTGACAGTGTTTAGGAACCCCTGGCAAGAATTGGATTAGAACTTGTAATTCAATGAAAGAAATTTGTGCTTTTTTAAAAAATCTTTGATGCCTTCTGTTTTTAAAATATGTCCATTCTTTTGCCATGCCAGCTTGCTTATAATCAATTCCAAGCAAGAATAATAATATGCTAATTACATATACTTTTTATTATACATTTGCTATAATATCAAAGAGGTAAATAGTTGAAATGGGTGATAGGGATAAAAGATTGGTAAACAAAAGGTGAATTAGCAACATTAAACTTGTTTGCTTAAATTGGAAAACATGGTACTCAGACGGGCACCATATAAAGGAAAGCACACGGAGACAACAGTACACTGATTTTCACACTGTTCAATTCCAGCAATTGATTCTCCGACAAATATTTTACCTGACCGCATTGACATCAGGTAATTACTCTGCTACTTCTTGATCAAGCTTTCAATGAAAGACCAACTTCTTGACATACCATATATCATATAGATAAAGAGAAGAAACATCATCAGATTAATTCTCCTTGCTATATTTCAGTGGCCACTCATAAGCTTGATTGTTTCAGCTTTTCATTGCAACCGTTAACAGCACCTCTGATGAATCCATTGAAATTAAAAATGAGTTTTAAACAACCATCACTTTTGTGTCTGTGGTGTAATGAGTCAGAATGTTGATATAATTAATGTATACAACATTTTTTTTCTGGGGAGTTTATTCATATTTATGCATTTTTTTCTTTTACCATTTTGTTATTGTTTATGTGATATAAATTGGGAATGCTGAGGTTTTCACCAGTGTAATTGTAATGCACTGTTCAACTTCACTTTATTGCATTGTCTTGGTAACATTAGTTCACCTATATATGTGCTTATTTTGTCTTTGTTTCATTGCAGAGATGGCAGTCAAGTGCAAGAAATGCAGTCAGTTTAAAGTCATTGCCTGCACAAATTATTCTTCCAAACACCAATTTAGCATCTTTGCATTGTGTGTAGATGTTTGGTCCATTGTCTTGAAAAGACCATTAATGGGCCACAAACATATGATGTTCAGAATCTTCCAAACATATAATTTGAACCATTATTCTCAATTAGGAATTGTTGGTGTGTTTCATGGGGATGTGGAGACAACACCCCAATCACCAGTAAACGTGCCTAAAACTGCATCTACAGTGGTGATATCCAATCCTATCAAAGCTGCACAAACTAAATCCACACATGTTATAATCATCATGTATGTGATGGATACTACAGCAAGCTGTTGAGATTCTTGAAGAGTGAATTAGAGGACACTATGAATGTTCTTAACCCAAATTGGCAGCCTACTGGAAGTCCCAATCCCCACCCATGCATGGATTTCATAACTTCAAAGCCAAGTATGTGTGATTGCTGTGTCCACAGGTTATATATTATTTAGTGTATACTGCCACAGCTGCTGGCCAGCAGGTCCAGCCACCTCACCAGTTAGTGTACTGTTTCTGTACAATGAATCTATAATCTCAGACTGGCAAATTACACATTGTTCAGCAGTTCCAACATTGACAGCAGCATATAACAAGCAGGTTGTCCTGACCATGCCATATCAACCATATTCATGATCCCAGTATGTGATGTACCAGCATCTTCTCAATTGAGCCATTCTGTCCAGCCATCTGGCCCAGTCCAGTTTACTTACTGCCTGTACTAATACTCTCCAGATGGATCACACTACCCATGAAGGACATGATTTGACCAGACCTACTAGCATATCCCACTGGTAGAGTCATTTTTACATGTGATAATGGCTCATCATTGTTGCTGCCTTCCAAAATGCTATATCCCTGGATGCAAAGTGTACAGGAAGAGAAAACAACCCTGGTACACAACATGGACTTGCCTATACATTCTGATGTAACCATGGAAAGGACTGAAATTAGTTATAAGGCAGCTATTGAAGAGGTATAATTAATATTTCCATCGCCAATCACTATTGCATACAAGGTCAGGATGTTGATGAAGATGATGAGCATCTATTATTCAGGATCTTCAAGACCTGCAAAAATTACACATAATGTCAATCAGATAAAATTTGTGACCCTTTTTGGATGTTCATACAGATGATGAACATGTGCCCATCATAATCTTACCCCAATCATACCAGGCATTAGCTCTTTTCACCACTCTGATACAAACCATATACGAATGTGAATGATTTGGATTTACTTAGCGTAAACAAGAACAGTAATGACATCAACAAATTTGCTCAACTCTGTTACAAAGTGGACACACACATATTTAAAGACTGTATCAGAGTTAGTCAGCAATATCATGTTGTTACCTGCCTACTCAACATAGGGTCCCGTTGCAATCTATCTGTAGGGCTGGAAGAGACCACATATGGAAATTAGTATGCTGCGTTGCCAATGTAGTCTGTAGAACTGCTTACCACATGATGCAAACACCCTAAAGCCCTTTTATAACCTGGACCTGATAAGAAGAGATGCCCACATGCAGTCTTTTTCCCTTTAGCCCCTCATGTCAGTTTCTTGCCTACTCAACCTACCAGCTCTTTCCATCTTTTACTCAGCTGAGAGGGCTTGCTGTGACCACACCTTGAAATCAGTATGTCGTGTTGCCAAGGTAACAGAAGGGCTGCTTACCACATGATGTTGAGTGCCCTGATGGACTCTAGTGATCTGGATTAGAAGGAATGCTCTCCTGCAAGATTCTCTTTAACCCTAGCATGCAGCAACCTTGTGCTCTCTCTCCATTCCCACCTTCTGTTCGGAACCTGATGTTGCCCCATCAGATCCCCATGCATACCTCTATCACTGTATAGTTAAGGGACAATCATTGACAGAAGTATTTTAGGGGTAGTTTTCAGGAAACAGTGGCAACCTTGTCATGAACAAGCAAGTTATAGGTGGTCATATGCCCCTAACTTTCTCAAGCAAGCATTGATGGGTTGTGGGGTGAGAAAACTAAGTTTCTCCCCACTCAAGCCTCCCACCAAATATCTGTGACTCCTACCTGCTGGCAACCTTCCTGTGGTGCCAGACTCTTTCTGTTCCATCAACTTGAATCATCCTATTGCTGCCAAACAGTTGCGTGATCCAAGACACATCATACAAGCTCCAAATCTCATTCATCCAGCCTCCACTTCTATTGTGGCCCCTCTTGATGGAGAGACAAAATGATCCCACGAATATTGACATTTTACTACTGGAGGTAGATTTTGAGCTAGTGAATTAGGTTGTGAAGTTAGTTTAAAAACTTTGTGCCCATGAAGTGGGTTGTAGAGGTGGTCTTAAACCTTTGTGCTAGTGAAGTGCACTGTGGAGGTAGTCTAAAAGCTTTGTGTTAGTGAATTGGGTTGAGGAGACAATCAAAAAACTGGACTTTTTGATGTTCTGTTCTGGACTTTTTCCAGCTATAAAGCCAGTGGAAAATTTAGACTTGTCATAGACTTGAGGTAACTCAGTCAATTTATTATTGCCTAAACTTCTGTAAAGAGATAGCTTGATTGGTCCAGTTCAGAGAGGCCAAGTTTAGTTACGCAGTACGTGCCAGTTAATGCTATAAATGGTTCTTCCTGCTATTTTATTCAGGAAAGCAAGCAATAGCCTGATAAGTGGTTTCCACAAGCATGCTTTTGCATACAT